CCATATCCATCTGTAAAATTACGGATGGACATTGTTTGCATGCTTGTTTTAAATGCTATAACTTCTATTTTTATTTATTTATTTATATATCCTTTTTAGTCTTGGTGAGGGATCTCAAGGAAGGATGAAAAGGGTGAAATAGGTCTTGGAAAGTAAGAGTGGTGATTGCTTCATGTAAAAGCTGGGTTTTGAAGGGTGTATAGACTTGTGAAGAGTGTTACTGCTAAAATACTTTTTCTTTTATCACGAGTAAAATGTTTCTCCTCTTTTTCTCTAATTCCTCTTTGATCTATCTGTATTATTGTTAGTTAATGATTGAGATTAAAACCTCATTTTATTTTCTTCTTGTTGTCTACTTCATGCTTCCTAGTATTTCTAATATGCCTAATTATAGCAATAGCAACAAGATGATTGTATGTATCAGGAAACATCAGTTTTTTGTAACTTTAGATTGGTGTTTGTTCCAGACACTTCTTTGTTGGAATTTGTGCGCAAATTTGGAAACCCTGGAGGAGGAATATTAATATATGAATAGATGGGATAGACTTGTGAGGAAAATAATCAAATTTGTGAAGAAGATCAAGATGATATATTCATTTTCATTACCAACAATGTCTCTACTTTTTAGTTCAGTTATATGTATTTTGCTTTTTGAATTGAAAGGAAGATTATGCAGCTTTCAAGTGTTAAGATGCTATCTAGGGATATTTGCTTTAGAAAAGAGGAATAGATCAAGTGAATGTAACTAGGTTTAGGGAAATTACCAAGAGATTGGCAGCCCATTGGTTTCAAGTTCAATTAAGGACGAAAAACCCTGAATCTGGAACTCGTCATAAGCTCTAAAAGTTTTTGCATTTGGTAGCAATTTGGGAAGGGGATTCTCAGTACCAGGGTGTTCTTTGTTCCGTTTCTCCTCGTATTTGTTTCTCTTACCTTTGATCGGACCCTTTGGAGTTTAGGCAGAAATTGATTCATCCTTTGGGATCACTTGTTACTAGATCTATTCGGAAAACCTAGTTCAGAAAAGATCTTGATTCTTGGCCTTGTTTCTGTCAGGAATTATTGAAACCATTGAAACTCAAAAGTCAAACCCAAGGACTCTAGAATTACAGAATATCAAAGTTCTTAAAGACAACCATCATTACTTCCAAACTGGCCAAGGTGTCAGTCACCTTTGTGTGTCACTGCACAGAGACAGTTATTGAGAGATGGCTTGGGTTATTTGGGTTTATAATTGTAGAATATGAAATTGTAATCTTCAATCCTCACCACAACTTCAGAGTTTTGCTTTATTGGCATTGTGTTTTGACATGTTACTAGAGTAAGCCAGGTTCAATTTTTACTGACTTTGAATTTCTAAAGTGGATTTTACAAGAAAAGTCCAGATTCAGCTCATGAAAGTGTGCGCTCACTTGGAGGGTCATGTTAGAGTATAAAAATGTAACCCTCAACTCTCGTAACAACTTTCCTTCTGCCTTATGAACCTTTTTCAGTTGATATTAGCCTATTCATCCTTGTCATTGTCTCAAATTACAATGCTTACAATGGCCACACAGCCAGGACAAAAGACTGGGATCAAGACTGGAATCATCCATACATTTTCGAGTATGAGAGTTACATTAACTTCACTTATTATAAGAAAGGACATCATATACTGTATTGAGTAATGGTGAGACCTAATACTAGAGCTCCCACAATGAGTGAGCAAGTTACCCATGGATTCGTAAAGTATCTCTGCTTAAAGTTGGCTTGCCACCTGTTCCATCTTCTATTGCAATAGTCATTGATGTCCTGGGTTACATCAACATCAACATTGTCGACAACTTTTGCAACTGGACCTTTTGTCAGTCCATTAAAAAGATCGGCTATCCTCTTATCACTGCTTACTCCCGACCTGATAATACCCTTCTCTCGAAGCAAGGCAATATCTTTGTCATTGTTTACAATGCCATCCATAAAAAACACATAGGATGTTACCTCTTGACCTTCGCCATGTGCTTGCTCATAGGCAATGAGATTCTGCATAACAACTTCAAATGCTTTGTCAACGTCGACTGCAGGTAGGCAAAGGACAGCTTTGGCGAAGCTTATATCTGTTAATGATGGCGTTTCACTGCACTGGAAAATTACGCCCGCCTCCTGTAGTTCAACTGCCGATAGTGGTTGGCGACTGTTGGTGTGATGATAACCTCCATTCTGTATAAGAGTTTTCTTGTACACATCCAGCAGGTGATGCCCTGTTATCTCCGTTAGGTGAAATATCCTAGAGGTTTGGCTAATATCATATCTTCCCTCTTCATATTTGTGGAAGAAGAAATGTCTGATTAGCTGGTGAATGCTTTGAATCTGGAAGACAGAAAAAAGTTATTTACTTTAAGCAACAGCATAAATTGTGATTGCTTTATAAAGGGATCCATACACAAAGTTCAACACTTACAGCAAATAGTGTCTTCTGCAGGATTTGAAAAAAGTTTATCTATCCAGAAGTTATTTATCCAGGTCTTAGTTCAATAGAGCTTATATGATGCGTATGCAAATAGTGTCTTCTGCTGGATTTCAATATGGTGACTGCTATCTTGAGCATGCACATTACTCATTTATTTGCAAAAAATTCTCATGGGAATGATTTGATCAATGAATAGCAAATTTTGTGGGAGTATCCTCATTGCATAATGTATCATTTTATACAATGTTGACTGTTAGGTTAATCTTACATTACGAGGTATGAAAATTTTGTGCAAGTTTGGAGTTACAACAGGGATATTTAAAGGTATGAAGATTTAGATTTCGTTAACATTCATCACCTTGTTTTTGCAGAATTCAGACAATATCTCCAGGACCTTCATTGGAATTTGATTATCCAACCTGAGCATATCTACACGAAGATCTTCAACCAAGTATGGTTTTTTGAATACTGGGTCCTTTGCGTGATAACTAGAAGGTGCGCACACATATGTTTCAAAGGTCGCTAACATTATTTCGATCATGAATGCTCCATCATAAAGCATGATTCTTAGGAACTCATCATCATTTTTCATCCAAAATGTATCAAGATCTTGATAGCAGGCTCTGAAGTCGTGCAGGTTCTTGTTCAGGGCTTCTATGATGTCATGGATCGACACTCGACATCGGACGAGGAAGTTCTGTAAGGCCCTGTGTTTATGACATTCCATACGATGGAGATTCGGATCTCCATAGTGCCGAGGTCCGATGCTGCACGTTGAAGGCTTATGGATCTGTGGGCTAATCCTTCTGAATGTGTCCGGGACGGTGTAGATGGAATGACGACTCCAGGCGTCTGCCATCAGGGCATTTCTGCTATTGAGCCACTCTATATCCGATATCAATCGAGAAACCCAGGTTTCAGACATGTCGTTGAATCTTGATCAAGAATCTGAATCTTGGAACTTGGAGGAGAGAGGTCTAAGAAGGGAGATCGAAGAAAGGTGAATGTGTCCGGGACGGTGTAGATGGAATGACGACTCCAGGCGTCTGCCATCAGGGGGGTTCACTGGTGATCGAAAATTGGTATTTTTGACTTCTCGAAACTTTTCCTATAATTTTTTTAAGAAATACAAGGAAATCCTATTTTAGGTGGAAAACATTTCCTATAATTTCTAGAAATTGAACCAAACACCCCCTAGACGTGTGAAGCTGAGTTCAAGTGAGGTAAAGAAAAAAAAAGCAATGATAGGGATCAAACTCCGAACCACAAGTGAACGTGGGCTTCCTATCCTACCTATATTGCTGCTCGGCCTCTGATGTATGATTTTTAATTTTGACCCTGTTGTCAGAGTATGATACCACAAACAAAAACGCGTTTTGGACTCTTTTTTTTATAGAGAATGATATATGGATCCTTGTTCGACATATGGGCATTTAACGGATTTGGAGATTAGGGTACTAGTTTTGGGCTGATTACACTCAGACACTTGATCATGGTCATTCTCATGTGCTGTCTCTAAAATGGACTCTATATATGCACATGCCACATGTGTGCATGCTTCTCTACACGTGTGATGAGTTTGAAATGGACCTTCTCCTATCTTTTACCAAAGTAGAGTTTATTTTTCTTTCTTTCACAAAGAAGTCTCTCATTAAGGAACTTATATTGAGTATGAACTACTTAAGTCTCTTATGAAGGAACTTATATTGAGTATGGCAGAGAGTTCTTGTAGTGGTGACATGGAAAGTTAAATGGAGGGCTTCAGAGCCGTTAGGAAGTTCTTATGTCTTCCATTTCATTGATTAACAACACACAACTCTGAGGTCAAAATAGGCGGCTTTTTTTTTGAGGTATAATTTGAAAATCATGCTTGCGTTAGGCTTGTATCTGCTAATTAACTTCAGTAGCATTGCTATTTGTTATTTAGATCTCTTGAAATTCGAAGGATGGTCATTTGGTTAATAGTTAATAATTTTATACGTTGTAAAAGTGATGATCTGATTCGGGTACGTTCAAGCTTTGGAGCTCCTGCATTTACTCTGATTCAAACTTGCTTACTACAGTCACAGGAAATGCATCTCTAATTTTTGACCAAGTTAGGAGAACATTTTGGTTACTTGAAATTTTTAAGCGCTAAATCTCCATTTTTTTTTGCAGACTGCTTACACTTAAGTCAGATTTGCATTCAACTAATCCATGTCGATTGGGGTTGGACTTAAACCTCTCAGCATTTTATTACGAGATCATGAACCCTGAAAGATAGGAGGTACCTTTTAAGAAAAGTTTGGCACAAACACACCATCAAGTTAAGCAATATAAATTGCAAGAATAAAGTTTCTCCTTCACCAAATAAAGCTTTGTTATTGATAATGTACCCAAATAACACTAACTAAAGTTTCTTCACAAATAATGTTCCCAAATAACACTTTGAATATTAAACCCTTCAAAGTGTATCATATTCAATGGAATTTTTGATATACATACAATAAAAGCAAAAGTAGATTTTTTGATTAAAGGTTTAAAATACAAGGGCAGAAAAAAAAAAGGCAATGTATTTAGGGGTTAAAATACAAGAGGGAAATAATCCGGTGGGTTGAGACACATCCAAGTTCAAATTTTAAAGCCTTGACATAATTTTCCCAGTTTAAATTCTTGATCTCCTAACCAAACGCAAAACAAAAGAAAAAAAACCAAAAAAAAGGAAGAGAGAAATCAAGAACAGGAAGAGGCATAGTGCCGAGGTCCGATGCTGCACGTTGAAGGCTTATGGATCTGTGGGCTAATCCTTCTGAATGTGTCCGGGACGATGTAGATGGAATGACGACTCCAGGCGTCTGCCATCAGGGCATTTCTGCTATTGAGCCACTCTATATCCGATATCAATCGAGAAACCCAGGTTTCAGACATGTCGTTGAATCTTGATCAAGAATCTGAATCTTGGAACTTGGAGGAGAGAGGTCTGAGTAGGGAGATCGAAGAAAGGTGAATGTGTCCGGGACGGTGTAGATGGAATGACGACTCCAGGCGTCTGCCATCAGGGCATTTCTACTATTGAACCACTCTATATCCGATATCAATCGAGAAACCTTTCTTCGATCTCCCTTCTCAGACCTCTCTCCTCCAAGTTCCAAGATTCAGATTCTTGATCAAGATTCAACGACATGTCTGAAACCTGGGTTTCTCGATTGATATCGGATATAGAGTGGCTCAATAGCAGAAATGCTCTGATGGCAGACGCTTGGAGTCATCATTCCATCTACACCGTCCCGGACACATTCACCTTTCTTCGATCTCCCTTGTCAGACCTCTCTCCTCCAAGTTCCAAGATTCAGATTCTTGATCAAGATTCAACGACATGTTTGAAACCTGGGTTTCTCGATTGATATCGGATATAGAGTGGCTCAATAGCAGAAATGCCCTAATGGCAGACGCCTGGAGTCGTCATTCCATCTACACCGTCCCGAACATGAACCCCCCCACCCCCCAACCCCCACTCTTTCGCCCTCTTCCTGTTCTTGATTTCTCTCTTCCTTTTTTTTGGTTTTTTTTCTTTTGTTTTGCGTTTGGTTAGGAGATCAAGAATTTAAACTGGGAAAATTATGTCAAGGCTTTAAAATTTAAACTTGGATGTGTCTCAACCCACCGGATTATTTCCCTCTTGTATTTTAACCCTAAATACATTGCCTTTTTTTTTATTCAGCCCTTGTATTTTAAACCTTTAATCAAAAAATCTCCTTTTGTTTTTATTGTATGTATATCAAAAATTCTATTGAATATGATACACTTTGAAGGGTTTAATATTCAAAGTGTTATTTGGGTACATTATTTGTGAAGAAACTTTAGTTAGTATTATTTGGGTACATTATTAATAACAAAGCTTTATTTGGTGAAGGAGAAACTTTATTCTTGCAATTTATATTGCTTAACTTGATGGTATGTTTGTGCCAAACTTTTCTTAAAAGGTACCTCCTATCTTTCAGGGTTCATGATCTCATAATAAAATGCTGAGAGGTTTAAGTCCAACCCCAATCGACGTGGATGAGTTGAAGGCAAATCTGACTTAAGTGTAAGCAGTCTGAAAAAAAAAATGGAGATTTAGCGCTTAAAAATTTCAAGTAACCAAAATGTTCTCCTAACTTGGTCAAAAAATAGAGATGCATTTCCTGTGACTGCAGTAAGCAAGTTTGAATCAGAGTAAATGCAGGAGCTCCAAAGCTTGAACGTACCCGAATCAGATCATCACTTTTACAACGTATAAAATTATTAACTATTAATTAAATAACCTTCCTTCGAATTTCAAGAGATCTAAATAACAAATAGCAATGCTACTGAAGTTAATTAGCAGATACAAGCTTAATACAAGCATGATTTTCAAATTATACCTAAAAAAAAGCCGCCTATTTTGACCTCAGAGTTGTGTGTTGTTAATCAATGAAATGGAAGACATAAGAACTTCCTAATGGCTCTGAAGCCCTCCATTTAACTTCCCATGTCACCACTACAAGAACTCTCTACCATACTCAATATAAGTTCCTTGATAAGAGACTTAAGTAATTCATACTCAATATAAGTTCCTTAATAAGAGACTTCTTTTGTGAAAGAAAGAAAAATGAACTCTACTTTGGTAAAAGATAGGAGAAGGTCCATTTCAAACTCATCACACGTGTAGAGAAGCATGCACGCATGTGGCATATGCATATATAGAGTCAATTTTAGAGACAACACATGAGAATGACCGTGATCAAGTGTCTGAGTGTAATCGGGCCAAAACTAGTACCCTAATCTCCAAATCCATTATAGGCCCATATGTCGGACAAGGATCCATATATCATTCTCTATATGAAAAGGGTCCAAAACGCGTTTTTGTTTGTGGTATCATATACTCTGACAACAGGGTCAAAGTTAAAAATCATACATCAGAGGCCGAGCAGCAATATAGGTAGGATAGGAAGCCCCCCGCGTTCACTTGTGGTTCGGAGTTTGATCCCTATCATTGCTTTTTTTTTTTACCTCACTTGAACTCAGCTTCACACGTTTAGGGGGTGTTTGGTTCAATTTCTTCTAGAAATTATAGGAAATATTTTCCATCCAATATATGATTTCCTTGTAGTTCTTAAAAAAATTATAGGAAAAGTTTTGAGAAGTCAAAAGTACCAATTTTCTTGTTTTTTGTACTTTGCTTGTTTAGTTCAAAACAAGAAAATAACCCATAACTTTATAGAAAATAACAAGATTTCTTTTTCTTTTGTTTGGTTACATATGCCAAATTTATAGAAAAGTGTTAAGTACCATATTTATCACTTTAATGGCTAGTTTACCGTTTTGTTTCATATTATTAAATCTTATAAAATACTTCCATCATCAACTATGCACATATACAAAATTTTGCAACTGAATTTTGCACTGCTGAAAAGTATAGCAGTGAAAGAGAAATAATTCCCATTAATCAGGCTTTAACTAGGTATTTCTAGGCTCTCCATTAAAAAGCTGAGAGCCATACTTACCAAGATACAATGTTAAGCATCTTGCCAATTGTTCACCACAGCAGTTCATGACATCAACTACAACATCACATGTCATTAGATCTCCACATCTATTGGAGCATCAAAATATCATAAAACTCACACAAATCCGTATGCACAAGATAATCTGAACCTACTACAACATAATTGCTTTCTTGATAACTTGCAGCCTCTGCGGAAGTACTCCTAAAATCACCTTCGCGCACATATCGAACCATTACCACCCAAATCCCTAGCCCGACCATGCTCGAGGCGGCCCACCAGAAGCAGGACCGGACAATATAGAGCTAAACAAGCTCCAATCAGGATAATAACTGGAAAAACAGTCCTAACGCTCGACAACGATCACAAATTTCGACAAAAAAAACCCAGCAATATAGAGCTAAACAAGCTCTAATCAGCATACTAATTAGAAAAAACAGTCCCAAAGCTCGACAACGAGCACAAATATCGACCAAAAACCCAACAACATAGAGCTAAACAAGCTCGAATCAGCATACTAACTGAAAAAACAGCCCCAAAGCTCGACAATGAGCACAAATATCGACCAAAAAACCCAACAATAGAGAGCTAAACAAGCTCGAATCAACATACTAAATGGAAAAAATAGCCCCAAAGCTCGACAACCATCGAGCACAAATATCGACCAAAAAACCCAATAATATAGAGCTAAACAAGCTCGAATCAGCATACTAATTGGAAAAAACAGCCCCAAAGCTCGACAACGAACACAAACATCGACCAAAAAACCCAACAATAGAGAGCTAAACAAGCTCGAATCAGCATACTAACTGGAAAAAACAGCCCCATAGCTCGACAACGAGTACAAATATCGACCAAAAAACCCAACAATATAGAGCTAAACAAGCTCGAATCAGCATACTAACTGGAAAAAACAGCCCCAAAGCTCGACAACGAGCACAAATATCGACCAAAAACCCAACAATAGAGAGCTAAACAAGCACGAATTAACATACTAACTGGAAAAAACAGCCCCAAAGCTCGACAACGAGCACAAATATCGACCAAAAAACCCAACAATAGAGAACTAAACAAAAACAACTAGCAACATGAATTGCAACATCATCAACTTTGTAATACACAAAATATAAGTTAGTGTAGGTATTTAGGAAATAGCAACATGAATAGTAACATCTAAAGTTTACAATTAACAAAATATAAGTTTGTGAGGGAATAGTAATGAAACATGTGAAGTAGCAAAATTGAGTGTTGTGTGCACAGAACAACAAAGCACTATGACGTGTCCCATCCTTGAGCCGCCGCAAGACTTGCAAGAAACCTCTTCTGAGCCTCCTTCGTTTTTATAAAAAACCTCCTAGCCTTACGCTCAAGCAAGACTTGCAAGAAACCTCTTCTGAGCCTCCTTCGTTTTTATAAAAAACCTCCTAGCCTTACGCTCACTTTCATACAAATGATAACCTCTTCTGAGCCTCCTTCGTTTTTATAAAAAACCTCCTAGCCTTACGCTCACTTTCATACAAATGATTTAAAACCTTATCAAGCAATTCTTCACTATAGGAGTCACTATGGTTCTTCAAAGCTGCAACTAATTGTTCAGTCCAATGTATAATGTGTTGATTTCTAATTGACTCCAATATTGACTCAACAAAGCTACGTATCAATTCATCATCATTGGAGTGTCGAGGTCTCTTGCTTGAAGATGGCTTTGTGTTGGATTCAAGTTGGGATTTTCTAGAAGTGGAGTTTGGGGTAGTGTTAGCATCAGACTGTGGCTCAACTTCACTCTCAAGTGGAATGTCCATATCATCATCATCAAGAGGAATGACATTGTTAGTACCAATCTTATCATAAACTGGCCTAACAAAATCACCCGTAGCTTGATCATCACCCATGATCTTCTGTAAATGTTTGTAGAAGGGAAGAGACTTGTTTATATATCCTCTTAGCTTTGAATTCCTTTTGTCTTGCAATATGTGAAAAATATTGTGTGAAATTAATTATAACATTCTCACATCCAAATAAATTAAATGTGTTGTTATGATAAAATTAATACGTGAGCCCATATTTTAAGTGTCTCCTCATCTAGGATTACCATACAGTTTTTCTCTTCCCACCTGCACCACTTATGTTGATGCAAGCCTTCATATCATTGATTTTGTTTCTCCAAGTTTTCATGCGATTAATCACATGAAGGTGGGTGTAGCTGGTTTTGAATTTCATGTTCATCTTCATAGCTGCTATTTTGTAAGCCTCAGCTTTGAAGTTTTTATCAACTTTAATTCCGGCATCCGCGAGCTTCGCAAGACACGGTATAAGCTCCGCATCATGCTCGGGGAGCCACCACATGTTAGAAACCCCCTTCAAATTGAGGCTAGGAGCTCCTTGTGTTGCAGACACTTTTCTCTTTTGAGTCATTTTTTGGTTTTTTTTAGAGGGTGACAACACCTCTTGACTCAAATTAATGACATTGCTTTGATGTCCACCAGATTCACCGGGGGTTGGTGACATTTGTTATGGACCGCTGCTTTGAGAACACAAAGTGGGATTATACAAGCCTTGGGGTCTGTTCAAAGAATTAGTGAATGAAACATGTTGTTGTCTCATTCCACTATAGTTCCCTTCTAATAGTGGGAGATGTGGGAAAGAAGGCGGCATTGTATGAGGCGGATTGAGTGGTTGATTTGAATATGGAACGAAATTCACATTAATACCGCCTGAATCAATTAGTGGTGCATGCGGTAAATTTGGCAAATTTTATTTTCCTCACTTTTTGTTAGACATACCTATGTGTTATAATAAAAACAAACCAGAAATTTAGAATTACATAGCTGCAATATGTGAACAATTACATTATCCGTACAAGTGCAAATATGAAATAAAAAAAATACATAATTAAATATAAGAAATTACATTGTTCATACAAGCACAATTATAAAATATTAAAATATAGTCTGAAATATGTAAAAACAATAAAACTACAAGCCAATTTCTGTGGTGTCGCCATCTTTATTTTGCACAATAATCAACCCACATTGCCCATGCAATTTGGTCCCTAAGGTCTTCATTTATTGAATCACGCTCCTCTCTTTGTGTCCTAGATTGAGTGAAGTCAACTACATTTGTATCATCTTCGTTTGTCACATCCTCATTCTCCTCATCAATTAGTACATTCTCATTCAAGATGTCATCTTGTGGATCTTCAATTATAATAAAATTATGTAATATAGTACATGCTAAGACCGTGTCCACTTGTGTGGGGAATGGATAATTAGGCTTTGCCAAAAGAATTTTAAACCGATTCTTCAATATGCCAAAGGTTGATTCAATTTTAGACCGTAAAGAAGAGTGTCTTAAATTGAATAACTCCTTACTATTTCTGGGTGTCCTACCAATTTGTTCCTTTAAGTGATAACGAACGCAACAGTATGGAGAGATGAAGCCAGGCATGGTAGTGTATCCAACATCACAAAGATAATATTTGCCTACGTTATAAAAGGAAAATTTGTGATTAGTTTGATCATATTATTTAATTTACTATTTGTTAATTGAGATGAAAAAAATACCATCATATACTCTCAATCCGTAAGGTTGTGGTCTATATTATTTAATTTACTATTTATCATATACTCTCATTCGTCGCACCTTCCCATCCAGCTAGGATATATGTGAAAAGTTTATTTGGAGTGCATGCAGTTAAAACATTTTGTGTTACACATTTACGCCCTCTAAACCGTGCAACTAGTTAGAGGGTAACATTGCATCAATATGTGTTCCATCATACCAATGCAATCCTATCAAAACTCGATAATGATTGAAATTATTAGTATCTCATATCATTAAATTATGAAAATCACTTACTCAAATAATTTATTTCTCTCTTACCTTGAAGTAAGGAAAATAGTTTGGATTGTTGGTAATCTCCGGTGGAATTTCATTAGGTGATTGCTTCATGTATCAATCACGAAGACCATTCATAGCTTGTAGAATCTTATTAAAGTACCTACTAACAGTTTCACCCGATCTTATGAATTCAGTCCTTATTACTCTGTTTTTGGTTTTATGACCCATTATGCAAAGAAACATAGCGAGTTGCTCTTCAACTTGAAGGTATTTTGTGTCCTTTAGAAAACCATGATTTCGCATTACACCCACAAGTTTGAAAAAAGCTTTAGGCCTCATTCTAATATAAGAGCTACAACTATCACTATATCCTTCAAAGATGCGCTTGAAGTGAGCATTTCTATAATAAATTTTCCTCATCTTATCCTCTCTTGGAGCATAACAAATGGATTTGCGCCTAGCACGAATTCTCAATAAACAAGGTATTATTGTAACCACGGAAGATATAGTCATATTAGCACACATTCTCTTTATTTGTTCTTCATTTACACCATCCATCTACATTTGTTACAAAAAAAAGTTTAAAATGTTTTTGCAACAATAAAAAATGATAAAAAAAGTTATCAACTAACTTATTAACAAAACCCTTTTATACACCAAACTTGAGAGAACTCTAAAGATTTACCTAGATATTCTGGTGAGAGTGAGTGCAACACAAATGAGTTAGAAAGCTTATATGAATCTGATGAAGAGGATGTTCACAACCTGAGTTCAACCTTGACGCTGATTTTAACAAGCTAATTGAATTGAAAAAGGGTTTGAGACTTGGTAGCAACCAGGTGCTTAAGGAGGCTTTAAAAGTATATGCAATACAGACTGGATATGATTTTTTACTACTTACACAATGACAAGAAGAGGATTGCTTCTATTTATTACAATTATAGGTGCAAAGTGTCAAAATAATTTCAAACATGGAAGAAGTTGAAATGTCAATGTGTGGATGTCTATAAACTTTAAAGTTTATGCAACAAAAATAAGACATGAGGCCATTGTTAAGATCAAATTGCCAAAACCTAAGCATAAGAATTGTGGTGGAACCAGGAATGAAACTACAAAAGTGTCATCTAATAACTATCATATGAAAATACAATTTGATCTTATGAATTCGTTTAACAACAAAATTTTCAATCATAACTATCATATGAAAATACAATTTGATCTTATGAATTTGTGTAACAACAAAATTTTTAACCATAACTATCATAAAAAAAATATATTTTTACTATAAATAAACTAGATCCACAAATTGATCAACTACGAACATAAAAAGATCAGAAACCCTAGCACGATTTTTCGTTAATAGATAGCTACAAATAGACCCATTAACACATAGACCCATTAACAAATATGACCAGAAAACAAGAAACATACAAATACTATGACCAAATAAGATGAACACAGACCCATTAACAAAAAACAACAGAAAGCAAATTATGTTCTGCCTGTTAAGGTGCTAAAAAAGATTGATGAAATGTGCAGATACTTCCTGTGGGGTAAAACCGAGCATGTTCATAAAATTTCTCTTATTTCTTGGGATAAGACTTGTTTGAGCAGGAAGCAAGGTGGTCTTGGTATATATTCTGCTTCTATCTGGAATTTGGCTTTAACTTTAAGAACTCTTTGGCTCATTCATGTTAACAAGGAAAGTCTTTGGATTAAGTGGATACATGGCACATACTTAAAGAATAATGATATTTGGCATATTCAAGCAAAGAGTAGGGATTCGTGAATGTGGAAATTATTTTTGAAAGTCAGAGATAAGGCTCTGAGAATATATGGAAGTGCTGACAATCTGATGCAACTAATTCAAAACTGTTTCAGGAATTCAAAAATCTAGTTCTCTGTGCTGTATTCTGCTCTATCTCCTCCTGCCTCTGTAGTGTCGTGGTACAATGCAGTTTGGGCAACTTCAAATCTGCCCAGACATTCTTTTGTCAGTTGGTTAGCAGTTCAAGATCGTTTGCTCACACAAGATAGACTGATCAAAAGAAGGATTGTGAGTGTTAACAATTGTTGCTGGTGCTCTGGTTCTGAGAGCAGGGACCATCTTTTTTTTTGAATGTCACTACTCAAGGGATGTTTAGGACATGGTTATGAATTGGCTATAATTCAGGTGGAGATCTTGCATTTGGAGTCAGATTATAAACTGGTATTGCTTTAGACTGAGGGGGAATGGTTTCAAGCAAAAAATTAAGAAAATGACCCTCACCTCAACAATCTATAGTATTTGGTGTGAAAGGAACTCCAGAATTTTCAGACAAGAAGGAAAAACTGCTGTTCAACTGTTTAAGGAGATAAAGTTCAACATTCTATCTAATATCCTCAATTGCTCCTTCTCGGCGGAAGACAAAGAATGGCTTAGTACTTTGTAATTTCTTGAGGATGTGAGTAGCTGTTAGTTAACATGTAATCTCAGTCTACTGAGGAAGTTGATGTGCTGAACCTTCAATATTTGGAAGATGAATGAAATTTTCATTGACAAAAAAAAAAAAAAAAAAGACTATTATGTATGTAATAGATAAGATTTTATTACTGAAGAGAAATGAAGCACAAACAAACTGCAAACAAAACGGCCTCTGCTTGTAAAATAGAGAATAAAATTTTAATTAAAAAAAAAAAAAAAAAAAAACAACAACAACAAAACAAAAAGCAACAGAAATCTCTTAAATCCTTAGAAAAACATCATCACAACAAAATGAAACAAAAACCCAAAATTATCTGTAAACTAAAAGAAACCCACAAAGACTTCACCTTTGCTGCTTAGCTACCTCCAACGACGAAAATAATCCTCCAACTATGAAAATAATGTAGACTTTTCTCTTTGATTGTTGAAACAAAAAAGTAACCGAATAGAGTAACTAGCAAATTTGCAAAACCGCTTTTATCAAATCACTGAAATTTAAATCTTTCATAAATTTTCTCTCTTTTATTTTTGGATCTGATAGTTACTTGTGAAACATTGATAAAGAAAGGGAAGCTCTATCCTAATCTTATTTACATGTATATTACAAAGAAGAATCCTTCAGTGATCCCTAGAGCCATTTTTTGTTAATAGATCAACTACAAATAGATTAACACAAAAAAATAAGCAAAAAGAACAGGAATTTACCATGAGAGCCTTGAGATCAGAAACCCTAGCACGAGATTTGGGAATGAGATGAAACCCTAGCACGAGATTTGGGAACGAGAGAACCCTAGATCTGGGGGCGATGGACGAGAGGGAACGAGTTGTAAGCGGTAATGGGCGCGAAGGACCAAAAGCTCGCTGGATTTGATGCGCGAACGAGAGCAAGATTTTCTGCCCTCGAAGCAGCTCAAGAAATATCAGCACGTGGGGAAATGGGTACGGGAAGGGGTTTTGTGATTTAAAAAAGGATGGTGTAAGATTTCCTCCCATTTTGAGAGGAAATCTATTTCTGTAAAATTGGGTAGTTTTTGGTATTTTATAGAAAATATTTCTGTAAATTTTTTTAACCAAATATAGTTTACAAAAAATCTAAAGAAAAATTTTAATTACAAAATTGCCATTGTCAAACATTTTGAGAAAAGTTTTTTATAAAAGTGTGCAACCAAACAACCCCTTAGCCTCAAATAAAGATAGATATTACATATTAGTCCCTTAAATCTAGAATAATTCCATATTAGTCCCTCAATCTACAGTAACTCCATATTAATCCTTTAAATCTTTGAAATTGCTCATTAATCCCTTAATGACCAAAACACCCTATTTTACTTTAATATCCCATAGTTCTTTGAACTTTGATACCCATAATCTACAATATTCCATATTACTCCTTCAAATCTACAATAATTCCATATAATTTATTTCTGACACTTTGTCATGACAAATTTTATACTTTTTTAATTTTGGCATATAAAGGTTTGCTTTTGACACTTTGATACCCCAAACTTGGGTTAGAGTCGCAAAGCTAAAATAGGTAAACTTTAAGGTATCACTGTAAAAAATGCAAATATTTGTGGTATCAAAGTTAAAATATTTATAATTTTTGTGGTATTAAAGTGTTAAAAAAACTTTGAGTTATCAAAGATAAAAAAAAGCGGTTTAGAGAATAGGATTCATCAAGCAAGTTTAGTGCTACCGAGTGGATGTAAAGGCCTTTACCTAAGGTAGGAGCAATATTTATGCCAAGTGTCTAAGCAAATCAGGCGGTACATGTGTCATTATTCTATTGTCTAATGTAGTCATGAAATTTACTTTATGAGTAAGTAAATCCACGTAACATAACCTCATTAATGGAACAAGTTTCTTCTGAGATGTATTACAATCAATAAAGTTATGGAAGTTGGTAATTAGAGGAATTGATTATTGATGAGAGGCTTCTATATAACTTATCTTCAAAGATTCAATTTGACTTGAAACAAAATATATGATTTTAAAAACTGTAGAAAAAATAAAAATGCAAAGATATAATCAACTAAAGGGTAAGTTGCACATAACTCCCTTATATATATATACTAGTTAGATTGCACGTGCAATGCACGTGGTAATTTTTTTATTATTTATTTTAAATTTTATTTAGGGAAAGGTTTGTTATTAAATTATTGAATGTAAACAATGAATGAAACATATAGAAGCTAAAAATTCATTATTTGAACAATAAAATTATATTTAGTGATTGATTGGGTGATATTACACACGCAACCTGTTATCTTTGACTAAATCTCAGCATACACAAAACAAGCTTATTACAAATGTCATGTACATGTTATGGGATGATCTTACTATGAGCTCGATGAATCATAACTCGTTCATTCTTGGGATCGATTCTGAAATGTTGATAATAGTGCTATCATTTCTCCCTCTCGTTTCGCAATTTAGATAGTCTGACAAAACTTTCACACTAAATCCATGATTATGACCTTTTCTGATGCGGAAAGATGTTTTCTCTCCACAAGCTAGGCTAAGCAATGGCACCGGTGAGAAGCTTGGAGTTCCGTAAGCAGTAGCATAAGGAGTGATAGAGTCTGAAATTGAATAAGGGACCGTGACATTTTTCTGATCAGAATGCTTACTTAAGTCATCAACATATATGAGATCATTGATTCGAGCAACAATGTTGAATGCAAGGCTCTCCAAGACTCTGGAATAACTTTCTATAATCGATTTCCCAATATTCTGGAAGTACAAGTCTTAGTTACAAGGAAAATTGAATTATGTAAAGGTGAGAAATTAGATGAGCAAAAGCAAAAACCTTGTTGAATTGAATTTTGCACATGTCCAATGTGGTTTGTGTTAGGCCAGGAAATCTCTGCTTCAGGCATACTAAGAGACTCTCAGCTCTATCAGCCAACAACTCCATTTTCTCTGCATTGGTTTTAGACATTGTTGTTGTTCTTCAACGTGATATATAAAGGGACTCCTCTATACGTTTGGATATCTCTAGAGCTTGGTGCTCAGAGGAGATCTCAAGGCAATATAGGAGGCACTCAGGCGTGAACTAGTCAGAGGTAAAGTATTTGTAAATTACATCACATACGCTTTCTCTTGCATTCTAAAGTTTAAAATGAAAGTCAATTTCGAATTTATGAAATATAATGTTAGTATGTAATGTCTCGGAGATCAGATCTTAGGTAATGAGTCAATAAAGGACCCTAGCACTTCCAGTTTAGCTAAAGCATTGTTGTTAATGGCCATTGTGCCCTTCAAGATTTGGTTTGTGCATTAGTGTTTGTACTGTAGTTTCTTTCTTGAGGTCTCTTGAAGGCCTCCAGCAGGAACATGGGGTACATGCAGCCACCGTTTCTCCTCTTGACGTTGAAACTGCATTGTGAAAGAGGCTGATTCATTGGTTTCTGGTGTTAACATCCCTTGATCAACATACCAAAATTCCTGATCATGAAAACTATCCGATATTTTCTTTTTTTTATAAAAGAATATACAACTCAAATTTTACCTAAATAGTCTTTATTATCAAGACTTACAAGGAGCATATTGGTATAACCTTGTTGTTTGAATTAAAAGTGCTTTGCTTGTGTCATTAGCGAACAAAAGAAAAATAGAGCATATTCATGCTTGGTTATATTAGAATTTCACTTATAAGCTGATTTCATGGTTGATAGGTAATCACATCATACTATATTAACCAAAATGTTACAATATGTTTCGTTAAATAGAAGTGTAGGCAGCAACATGCCCCAGATATTATGTAATTGCACTTTACAACATTTGAAAGCAACAACAGGTTGTTAATTTCTTGAAAGAGGAAGCAACCAATCATAGAGATGGAATTTCTTGAATTATAAAAGAGCTTCGGTTGTATCATTAGCAAATAAAAGAAAAATAGATCATACTCATGCTTGATTATATCAGAAATTTAGTAAGCTGATTCCAAGGTTAATACGTAAGGGAAACTTATTATATTAACCAGAAGTTTACATTATGTCCTGCCAGATAAAATTTTAGCTAGCAGCGTACCCCAGATATTATGTAACTGCACTTTACAGGCAATATCATGTGTTAGATATTTTTTGGCCAATGTAAAAAAATTAACTAATTGATCATAGAACCTACGAGAAGTTGTAGTTTTTACCCTTGGTTTGTTGATCCAAACAATATTCCTACAAAGATTGATGATCAGCATGACTAAAAATCATAACAAGTCCATTGCAAATAGGAGAAGCAACGCAAACTGTTTCTTATTTGTTATAAGTATGTGTATTAATCACAGGATCAAAATTTCCTCAACTTCAAATGCAGTTCAATGGTTCAGCGGTATTAGCATCTCGAACTGGTATAGGTTACATTCTCCTATCCTTGAGGAAACGAGAAACTACTATTCCTTCTGTTTGAACTTTATAAGCTTTAGTGATCAGATAATTTTAAAAATTCAAGTGACCCTGATTTTAAACGTGTTGTTGACGGTAAAATTTCATTGTCCAGAGTATTCATATGAACATGTTTATATGCTAGCCTAACTCCTGTTCCCAATAACTGCGAATTAAGAAGAACAGTAATGAAGTGATGAAACAAATAAGTTGAAATGGAAATAAAGAGAATTTTATGTTTATAATTCGTTAATAAGTAATGTGATGACAAATTGTACTGCCTATTAATATGGCATCTACCCTTGTTTACCATAGACAAACACATGCATTAGACAGGGTAATATCATTACACATAGACTTCAATCATGCAAGAAACCCCATATTCTGAAACTTCTAGCATATTCACGACTTGAACGCAAAAATAGTCCGCAGGTGTGTATACTACAGAACAGTTCCCAGTGGAGTCTGAAGCGCATAATAGTGTAGCAAGTGTCTAATATACTGAACGATTTTGATTTACCACAATTATAATCCAAATAAATATAGAGGAGAAAATGACTACTAACCCTAACGTGTGTTTCGTCCAGTTCTCATCATCTCTCTTGGTCTCTTCTGAGATAACATATGCGACATAATGTTAACGAAACAAACTCAAATGTCAAGGAAATAAATTAGAAAGTTATTGGGAAATGAATCTAACTGTAAATTCTTCACAGGCATGAGCTTTTCTAGTCTCCTTTCTAGCTTCAACTGAATTCATGGTTATGCATGCATTGATTAAAAGATTTTCCAGCTCAATAGTCTCATTTTAAGTTAGAATTCCTACAAGCATAAGGATAAACATGTGTTGAATTAATAAACACTGGAAAATGGAAATTCACCAAAAAATGTAAATGCAAAAGAACTACCATATCAAAGACTGATAACGGATTTGGACCTCGTGAAAGCTTTTTCAGTTGCACTTTTCACTCTTTGTCAATCAATTGCAACCTAGATATAATTCAAGAAATGCTAATCAGCTTTCTTAAGACAGTAATTACTTTATTTATATTAAATACATATTGCTTGAGGTAATTGTTTAAGCTCTAAATGATAGTTATGAGATGTATAAAAGAAAGTCTAGGAAATTTAAGTAACAAGTCCATTGCAATAACTCCTTAGCAAGAACTAAAAATTGATAGTTATACACAATACATAAGGTATCTAAGTATTCCTACAAAGATTGATGATCAGCATAACTAAAAATCATAATTGCAAGAAGTTGGATGCTCAACATAACTTTTCAAGCATCCCTATGACAAAAAATAATAATTGAAGTGAATCAAAATGCTTACCGAACTATTTGTGAAGATAACAAGACTTTGTCTTACGTTGGTTTGTTCAGTTTTCTTCTACAAGTTCACAAGTTTTATTTTATTGGAATGATCACCAGAAGGACCTATATATCATGTACATTGAAGGCGGAGAATTAATCACATAAGTAATTTCAAAAGGTTCACAATCTACATATTTTGGCCGAACAAGTCCCAGTGTTGTGTTAACTGTTAAATACAATTGTATGTAATATGCCTGCATTCGATAGATTAAAAATACGTAGAAAAGAAAAGTGATTCAAACTAATAGTTAATCAAACATATGAAGTAACAGCACTATCAGAAGGCAAGTCCAATCACTAATAGAAGTTTTTTGTAAAGAGGTTATGTGAACAATGGCATGCAAAGATAGTTTAATTTTTTTTCTGGCAGAAAACCTCTTTACATAAATGGTAATTTTTACACCCTTAACATAAAACAAGCATCTTCAGAGATATAAAAGGTTTCTATCAAGTGTTCTTTTAACTCTATAACCAATGTAACAGCAGTAGGTCCAATACATTTCTATAGGTTGACAATGCTCCATATATTAACATCTTTGTATAGGACTTCAATAGTTAACTCATCTTAAAATAATTATTTTATATATGTGTAAATCAAACTTTCATGTATTACCTTTATATGAAGTTGCCAAGGTTTAAGATATTAATCATAGTTCATGTATTACCTTCATATGATGTTGCTAAGGTTTAAGATATTAATCATAGTTTATGTTTCCATAATACATCTTTTACTGTTGCGCCAAGGCTACCCTTAAAATAATTTTTCTAATAGCTAAGAAAATTCAAAAGATGAGGGGAAAAAGAATAAGAAGTAAAGATAATATCAAAAGCATGGAGGAATCGATTTCTTGGACTACAGAAGGCAAGAGCAATACCGAGAATAGAGTAACATCCGGCAACTCCAGCACCCAGCACCAAGTACCTACCGAAAAAAAGGACTTATCAATATACAGTTATAAAACGTTATGCTATAAATTAGTACCTATAGTTTTAGCTAACACAAAAGCTGTAGATGATCTGTAGCTAGCATAAATGACGTATCTGTTATCAACAACCTTAATTTCCTCATTGCGCAAGACCATTAAGATGACAGCTGGGATCATGCACAATGCAGTCAATGCTCGGAAAATGACTTACACTGCTTGGCCCAAAATACTACGACGTTTCATCTTGTATACAGCTGGGATCTTGCACACAGTTTTTTAAGACTAACATGGAAGCTATGTTGTAGAATCGTGTATGGATTATTCTCTTAATTAAAAAAATACAGTATACAGACAATTTATATGCATAAAAAGTGCAATTGAACAAAAAAACTGTGTGACAGCTATTGGACTAATTCATACAACTTTTCGTCTCAACATCCAGCAGTTCTAGTACTTTCTCCTAGTGAAATTCATACAACTTTTCATCTCACAATCCAGCAGTTCTAATACGTTTATTAGCATGATCCTTTTTTATTGTAGAAGATAGTTTCAGAAGGAGGAAATCAATAGGAAATAGAATTTATTTATCTGGGTAAAGGAAGAATGAACTCACCAAAATAAAATCGAACGCTTTTGTATCCTCCTTCGAGCTAGTTAGAGTTGTAGCATGGTTTTGTACCGGATTTTTTGAAAGTTGAAAAATGTCAGGTAATGCTGAGTGACTTCCGTCAACAGCATGCCCATAACCAGCATTAATATTTCCTACATTTTGAAACAGTAGTTGCTGCTGTGCAATGAACGCCCCTATGGCGGCATAGTTCATTGGCTGGTTAGTATAAGATGGATTGAACATCATAGTTTGGGGCATATTATACTGTATTGCAGCCATAGGGAATAGGGAGTTTGAACCAAGACCTCCATTTAGAGCACTGCTCACAGTACCCTGGCTGGATTGGTTCGTAGGCATTTGGCTGGACAGATTTATGGTATCAACAAAGGAAGTTCTAATAAAAGGTTGGTTCTTCTCTAGCACATTACTGTTAAGAGACAAACCAGTCATCAAGTCATGGTCATTGCTTGTTTTCGTTTCTGATTCTTGTAGAAGAAGATCAGAGTTAGAACTGAAAGCGTCAAGTAATCCAAACTCTTTATTAACTTTCTGCTCATTCTCAGATTTGTTAACATCAACTGTCAACCTTGAAAATATGTCATCAAGTTGTTTCTCTTCGGTCACATGGAAAGATACGTCTGCGAATGGATCATCTTTACTTCTATTTTCACTACTATTCAGACCAGCAACAGGGCCATCTCCAAACAAATCATCAACCAAAGAACCAGATGTTGTCAGGTTTCCAATATTTTGGTCAACATGCTTCTGTGTTAAAGATTCAGTTCCATAATCATTTGCATCACTTGTATCGATTAAGTCGGGCATCTGAACAGCTGGAACTGGCATGGGTCTTGTGTTAGATTGCTCCACCTGGTTCCCTGTTCCAAAAATCTTGTCCCCATCCAAAAGACTTAAAACCTAAAGAAAAGAAGGCATTAAACTGATCAGTAACATACAAAAAGTGAGAAAACAAAAAATGAGCTGGAATTTGATCAGGAAAGTTAAGAGAAAAAAGATAATGAAACAAACAAATATAAATAGGCAAATATGAACTATTATAAAAAGGTAAACAAGGGAAAAGATGAAAAACCATAAACGATCGATTCAGAGGATAAGATTTTAGTTGTTTGTGTGCCTATATTAATAAGTCTTGGATGCTTTGGGCTTTGAATGTAGATTTTATTAGATTATAACTTAAAATAAAAACTAAAAACAGATTCTAGTAAACCCAAGAACCGTAAATGGTCCAATAGAACGTCATATTTATCTATAACGGGCACAACAGAAAAATGTGTTTTCCATACTATTCCTATAGATAAGCAGCATCAATCCTGATTGCCTGGTGCATCACCTATATCCAGGGGTTGGCTGCTATACAGAATACCATCAAATAAATGTGAAGGGTAAGAGAAAGCTAAAATATTGAGACATAAACACAAGCAATTATCCCATTCACCGGTTCTGTACTCCTTGTGGCACCCAGAGAGAGAATATGAGCGCAATAGAAGAAAACTGCTGACCGAAAGTGAAATGTAGAAAATAAATATCATTTTAAAATCTGATACAGTACAATGGCTCTAATTTTCCCATCAACTTGAAAATGGGTTGGATTTTGATTAAATCATATTCAAAGTGTTAGATCATTGAATGTGAATATACAAGAAATAACCATTTTTCACATTAAACCTTGAATATATTAAAAAGGATATGATATGAAAATACTAAGGTACAAATACAGGAAATCCAAGGAAATAGGTAGAAATGCACAAGAAAAAGCACTCCTGAGGAGCAAAAAGTAAGACATATTGAATATAGCAAGATTCAAGAATAACTTTGGACATCATTTCAAAGGGGACGAAAAGGAAAATGAGGCTACTTACTTTGTTTGCCTTTTCTCTCAAAGAAACTTGAGGTACGTCAGAGTATTTAACCACAGATTCTCTCCTCTCACTAAAATAAGATGCTATAATGGATAAATGCTCATTATCCTTTTTCCTCAAAATTGATTCCAATACACAACAGACCTTCATCCGGACCTGACAATGCCAAACAAAATACAGTTTTAGTAATCACATAGTTTCAGTAATCACACTAAACAGAATGTAATTTCTTCATTTGAACAACTTAAAAACAAATTAACGTAAAAGCAGTCTGGTAAATGTGGTTTTAGTATGTTAATAATCAGATGACATCTTATGCTATTTCAAACAAGTTTAAGATCTTGATACCAATAGGGCTCAGGGTAGCTCTTTTAGGTAATTCAAATCAGTAATTCTGTAGTTTGAATAGTGTAGGACTGGAAATATTGGAATCTGGTACCAAATGGATCTATTGTAAAACAATTAAGTTCTAGGGGTACAAAACCCTGAATACGGCTTTGGATACCTTCTGCCGGCGGTGTCACTTGTGCTTTGTTGTCCTTATATACATAAAAAATGCATAATCATCTAGACACATGAAAATTCTAAATTAGCAACCATTTGATTTAAAAAACAATGCAAATAAGAACATAGAAAAAAATAACAATTAACAGAAAAGAAGAGTGACCCATGTTACCTTAGCGGATCACGATCCCAACTGATGTCTTTGAAGGGGGGCGTGATCTTCTCCACAAAAACCCTGTTGAGCTCAGGAATCAAAGGGAAAGAAAAGTTGTTGAAAGAACCAATAATCAACTTACTTTCTGATCTAATTGGCAGGAAATCGAGAAATATGCAGGATTAAAACCCTCGTCGCTTGAAACTACAGGAAATCTAGGGCAAAATTAAGACAAAAGGAGAGGAATGAAGAACAAAAAGGGGAAAGAGTGAATTGAGCAGAACAAACGATTAGAGCTAGGGTTTTGTTTAGCGGAGTGAAGAAGAGAAGAGACCTTCTTGATCCTAGCGCGATGCCAAAAATCTGAGAACTGGTGAGATGAAACAGAGGCGGTGCGTTGATGATGAGGACGATAATACTCATCTTTGGCATTTGATGACTTAAGATCGTGGAGGGGCGTTGGCTGAGGAGAAGCGTAACCGATGAACTGATTGTCGGAGGGAAGGCGTAACCTACGGTAATTATGGCTTTTGATTCTGATGATGATGATGAAGTCTGCGTAACGATTATAAGTGATAACTTTGGTAATTTACATTTGTTGATGGGTAATTTGGGTAGGTAAAGTTTTTTTGGAACTCCCTCTTTTAAAGGGTATATAATATATATATATATATATAGTATATATAGAGAAATATGGGTATGCTTGGTACCAAGCACAAAAATTTGGCTTGGTAGTGAGGGTGTCAAATCCCCCTCCACTCATTCAAATGTGGGAATAAATCACATGGGTAGTGAGTGGATGAGGATGTGACACATCACTACCAAGCACAAAATTTGTGCTTGGTACAAGCATACCCATATTTCTCATATATATATAATATATATATATATATAATTATATATATATATATAGGTTGCTGTGGTACCACGTTTTTAAAAAAACTTGGTAGTGAGGTGTATTAATCTTGGCCATTCATCTAACAATGAGGGAATGAAGAAAAAGTGATGTACTTTACAAAAAAAACCCATATTAAAAAAAAAAGAATAAGCTAGAAGTCTCTCTCCCCCTCTCTCTCCAAATATTCAATCATGATCTCTCTCTCTCTCTCCAAATATTCAATCGTGATCTCTCTCTCTCTCCTCTTTAATCTCAATCTCTCTCTCCCCCTCTCTCTAGAGCCATCGCCGCCACACTCCTCCGTCGCCCCGACCACACCGCGAGCCCTTCCACGCCTCCGCGACTCCTCCTCCACCGGTCGTAGCAGCCGCCGGAGTAGCCGCCTCCTCTCTCCCCTCTCTCTAGAGCAGCCGACTCCTCCTCCTTGCCTCACCGACTACACCACGACGGGGATTAGGGTTTGGGTCATTTCTCATCGCCGCCTGCTGCCGCTGACTCCTCATTTGCGCCCGGGCTGGCCTGACTCCTCCTTCATGCCCTTGCCGATTCCGCCGTGACGGGGAGTTAGGGTTTGGGTCATTTCTCCTTCACCGTCCGCCGCCGCCGACTCTTCCTCCATGCCCTCGCCAACTCCGTCACAACAGGAGAGAGATTACCTTGTTGTTTCAGTTAAATTATACTATCAGTTTTTGCTTGATGGTAGGATTATATATGTATATGTGGATTTATGGAAATTTCATGTTCGTTTGAAAGTCTAGATTTTTGTTTGGCTTTTGATTAGAGAAAGCTTGAAAACAAAAAAGATAGATTAACCATGAAAGGGGAGATTATTGACCCTCAATTCTACTGCGTAATAACTTAGCTTGAAAATCATGAGCACATTTCATTTGTTAAATATAAATTTGCATTATCAGGAGAGATTACCTTGATGTTTGATTTATCGACACGCTAGATTTATCATTCCAGTTGAACATAAAGTGAAATGGTTTATGCAGGGAGAGAGACGAAGGTTATGCTCAACAGCTCGGGAGTTCTGTTGAAGTGGAGTAGATTGGAGACCCATATGAATAGAGATACCCTTTTGCTGTCTGGGCTTTTGATTGCGATGTGCTCTGCTGTGACTATTTGTGCGGGTGTTTGTTCAACTTATAGTTCCATTTATCATATCTCTATGGCTTCACCTTTTTAAAACAGTCCATCTGCTTTCACGATCGTGATTATGGTTCGAGGTTATAGGAAGATTTCACTTAAAACATTGAGGTGATGCTGAGTGATGCTTCTTTTATATGTATTTCATGTTTATGCTCTATACATATGCCATAACATTGAACTCAATATGTTGTGTATTGGCGACTAATGTAGTTGTAGATGTAGGGTCGAAAAGTTGATGTTTGATTGATTCTCTTGTTTTAAGAAATGGGTTCGATCACTTAGTACAAATCTCGTACAATCACTCACTCTCTCGATTACAGATGAAGAGAATATTAATTTAGCTCCACTTTGTTTAACATGGGTTCTTGGTAGTGAAAGGATGCTTCTCTCGATGCTCAAGCTGAGATTACTTCCTGTTGACAATCAGATCAAGATCGCTTCAACTCGAGAGGAGAATCAGACTTTGTTGATGGCTTAGATTGTTAGAACCAAGGTTCGAATTTCAATCTTGAATGCCAAAGCTCTGCCTCCCGTCTGTCCCTCCAAAAGTCCCCTCTTTATAGTTGATTGCGGCTATTTATAGAGTTTCAGCACGTAACCGATGTGCTAAAATTATGGGTAGAGGGCGTAACTGATGCGCTGAAATCGTGGAGCCGTGGCATAACTAACTCATTGGATTTAGCCCACATTGCTGACTAGGTCTTCGGAGTTGTTACAGCTGGATCTCTTGTGGATGAAGAGCCTCACTGTATGGTGAGGTTCATCTGATTGTACGAGCCTCAATATGTAGCGAGGTTCGTCTTCTAAGACCCACTTTGTAGTATAGCGAACTCTATTTTCACTGACATCATCTGACGAGCTTCGTATTCACCAACGAACTTCGTCTACGATAGCTGAGTCCAACTACATAGCAAGTCTTGTGAATTTCCTTTTGACGAGCCTCATCTTCACTAATGAGCTTTACGTCTGGTGATGAGTCCCGAACCTCGTATCCAATGACAAGTCTTTGAACCTCGTTTCCAATGACGAGCTTCAAACCTCGTTTCCAATGACGAGCTTCAAACCTCGTTTCCAATGACGAGCTTCAAACCTCGTTTCTAATGATGAGCTTCATCTTCCAAAGTAGCTTTGTCCATAGTGATGAACTTTGATGTAGAGCCTCGCTACGTGGTGAACCTCGTCTTTTGATGTTGAGCCTCGCTGCATGGCGAACCTCGTAGGCGAAGCTGTCAGGCGAGCTTCAATCGGTTCAGGCGAGCTAAGTTGTCAGGCATACTTAGCATTGCAGGCGAACTTCAATGTTCAGGAGAAGTCCAGTCTTGCAGGCGGACTTAGTACTGCGACAAACTTTAATGTTCATGCGAAGTCTAGTCTTACATGCGGACTTCAGAACATGCTGTGAAGAACGGGTCATAACTTTCAAACCGTAAGTCAGAATTGGATGAATTATATATGAAAATTGACTATCTCGACGAGACGGAGCCGACCAAACCAACCCCAAAGGGTTCGGTTTGCTCCTGTATATTTCACTAATTTCCTTATGGTTTGAGATATATTAGCGTTTTTTGTCAATTTTGAGCTTCTTTGCTAGGAATTAAGGTAATTTTTATTGCCTATAAAACCTCCTCTAAAGTTTTCAGACCCAAATCAGGTTGCATAAGGTTTGAAATACTTTAGATCTTAAGGCCTGCAAAATGAGCACTATTCAGATGAAATGAGGAGCCTTCCAGCGAACTTGTCCATTCTGGTAAAGTTGAACTCTCCAAACGCAGTTAATGATCGCCATCTAGGATTTTTAGCAAATCCTCAGCTATCAACAGACTTGACGTATCTTTATCAATGGCCGTTTGAGTTGGACTAGCCATGCTTTTGCCCTTAGCATGGTAAGTTGTCGATGAGTTTCTTTTAGGCTTAATGCTAAGATTTCTTCTCTATCCTTAAGCGTTCAAGGCATTAGATTAAGTGTTAGAGTTTGGTTGTGTCATTCAGTATAACAACTCAACATGGTATTCTGAAAACGAGGCTCATCATATGGTAGGCCTGCTGGGATGATGTGGTATCGTTGATGAATAGTGACTCATCGCATGGTAGGTCACTATTTGGAAACAAGGGGGATGATAGAGGCTCATTGTTTGGTAGGCCACTATCAACGAATAACATCATGACATTGTGGAGGTAATCAAGTCGTTCAGTGACATGAATGTATAACTACTATGATTAAAATAGCGGCACATCATCGCATGGTAGATCACTATCTTGACCGAGAGACAAGTAGGTGCTCATAGCATGGTAGAATACTACTTGGCGAGGGAAATCAAGCCGTTCAGTGACATGAGAGTATAACGACTGTGATTGGAATAGTAACACATCGCATGGTATGTCACTATTTTTGATCATTCTAAGGAGATAGAACGTTCGGAGAAGACCAGATAGTGAATCATTGCATGGTAGATCACTATCTTGATCGAGAGATAAGTAGGTGTTCATCGCATGGTAGAACACTACTTGATGAAGTATTTTCAATGGGGGTTAGGATTGACTATCAGAGGTAATCATTAATATGATAGTTTTGTGGACCCGTCATCCTATTGGAGAGAATTGGTGGTGGAATTTGGAGGAACTGACTATTAAAGGTAATCATTAACATGATAGTTTTGTGGTCTCGTCATCTTATTGAAGATGATTGGCGATGGAATTGGGAGGAAGTGACTATCAGAGGTAATCATTAACATGATAGTATTTTGATAACTGGTGCATAAGAGATCATGACCAAAACATTTCAGTCAATTCTCTCTCATTTTATCCTTAATAGCAGCAACCTCTAATTTTATACGGATGCACTCATTTCTTATCTTATCTTTCAGTGTATATCTACAAGACCATTGCAACATTCTCATTATTGCTATACTTATTTTTTGCACATATTTTTTAATAGCCTAACACTTGATCCATAAAAGCATTGTTGGTCTTTTAACCGTTCTGTATAATTTTCTCTCTAGTTTCATTGATATTCTACGATCACACAAAACTCTTGAAGCACTCCTCCATTTCAACCATCCTGATTTGATTTGATGGGCAACATCATCCTCAATCTCACTATTATGCTGAATGGCTGATCCTAAATAGCAAAAATGATTACTTTTAAATATTTTTTAACCATCAATATGTACTATAGGCTCTTTTTCCTTAGTTTTAGTAAAAATAGACTCAATATATTCTGTTTTTTTCTACTATTTCTAAAACCTTTAGATTCAAGAGCTTGTATCTACCTTTCTACTTTAGAAATTATACATCTTCTAGTTTTGTTAAGTAACACTATATCATCTGTAAATAACATACACTATGAAATTTTATCCTGAATGTGCCTAGTAAGTTGATCAATAACTAATGCAAAAATATAAGGACTTATGATTGACCTTTGGTGTAAACATAGAGTATGTGACGCCCCTAGGTTCACACAAGGCTACAGTCCGAGGTGAAACCAGGAATGTCAAACCTGCCATGCACCACACCGTGCAATAACATGTTTCACCGTCACAATCACTATCTCTCTAGTGGAGTCAACAACAGATGTAGGTACAAGGCAAGTAAAAGGTTTTATAGCAGAAACTTGGTACAATGATAGAACATCAATTTAACACATCTCATCAGCACAATAAACTGAAATGCATAGACAAGTCTGAAGTGAAAAGAAATGACAATCTGGAGATCTCACATGCCTCAAAATACATAATGATTGATACAGGAAAATAAGGCACACAGCCTTTACAACTCTAGAGCATATACCTCTCTAGCCTAAAATATCTTAAGTGGAGAAAGAAAATAAAATACATCTAATGAGAGGATCAAAAGACACTAGCAAGGGTCGTCCTCAACCTGCGGCCATCCGGGCTCCTGGCTCGTTACATGAAAGGGGGGAGGGACAACGAGCGTCAAAGCGCTAGCGAGCAACATCACAACCAACCCCAAGGGATAGGGCTCGTTGTATATGAAAATACAGTTAATACAATGCAATATAAATCATTTATGCAAACATTAACGGGTCTTGGTACTTAGGGAAATACAACACGAGCATAGGTACGTCGAGCGAAATAATCCAAACAAGGAAACCCTCATGTATATACCTTGTATCTCAAATTGTAGATCCCTAAGTACAAAACCCGAAGCTAGTTACAAGAGAAAAATAAGGAAAAGGAAAACATGCCCATCTCTACCAATAACATGTAAGTGAAACAAGGCTACAATAGGTGCCATGATCAACCTAGGTAGCTATCATGTCCCGGCCAAATACAATGTGTCGTATATCCAACTTTATTGAATAACGTGCTCAAGGTTTAGCAAAAGTCTAACACATGATTGAAATGGATTATCGTCCAACACGAGGACTTCTATGGATTATAGTCCAACACGAGGACTTCTATGGATTATAGTCCAACATGAGGACTTCTATGGATTATAGTCCAACACGAGGACTGCGTACCAAAAAGTATACATGTTTATATTCCCGTACATACTCTGCTGTACTGACTTAAACTCGTGTTCAAAGTATCATCTCACATGAACAGGTGAATTCATAATCACCGTATGCATAAATACTTATATACACCCAACATGTAATTTAAACAGAAGCATGAACGAAACAGAAAGAAAATACTATGATGAGTCGACTCGTACTCAAATATGAGTCGACTCAACAGAACACATTTGATATCAGAAAAGGACTCTGTGAGTCGACTCATGACAGTCATGGGTCGACTCATGGCTTATGGGTCGATTCGTATACTGACGAGTCGACCCAGCAGAAACAACATGCAACACAACAAGACTTCGTGAGTCGACTCATGACAGTCATGAGTCGACTCAACATGATGAGTCGACTCGTGATGAGTCGTGAGTCGACCTACGGGCTGAAATCTGCATATAATACAAGTTAAATTCACCAACACGATTCTTCCCTCTAATTCACTAATCTACATCTTTATAACCATCAATTCTAGACTATGATACAGAGATAAATTCACATATAGCATAAGGAACATTTACTTATGTGTTAAATCTAACAATTTACCCCTAAGCATGAAAAAGGGCATTTGATCAAAAAGAAAACTCATGTTTTTATTTCTTAGAAATATTTCCAGATCTGGGTTTTTCTTCAAAAATTCGTGGGTGGAGGTTTAAAATCCGAAACACATGATTTTTAGCATCTACCCTAACAAGAACATTGTTTTATACTTGAAAATAAGTCTT